TTCACGTAGTTTCCGTGTTTGGGTATATCTTGACAACATTAGAGCAGTTCGTCTTAGTCCGGGCATTTTTTTCTAATCTCAATAATAACTTTATGTCTGTGCAGTGCAAAGACGCATATTTACATGGGGCTGTGTGTATTTGTGTGTGTGTGCATGTGTGTGTGCGTGTGTGTATGTATGTGTGTATGCATCTTTACCGATTTTTTTCATCTCGAGATTTACAAAAGCTACAAGGCTGTAACTTTGGGAAGTTAATCTACATGCATATACGAGTCCCCACCCTCAAAATGGACGCCCTAGCCACTTAGTTCCCACGTAAGGGCCTGTGAAAGCTTTCTGCGGGTAAGTTGCCAACTTGAGAACCTAAAAAGCTAAAAGGTTGGAATTTTAAGGGATCTTCCCCGTAGATCTTAATGAGTCTAAATCGAGCCTCAGAGGTGTGCGCGGTTCTCATGTACAGCCTGTGAAAATTTTTGATGGGTAAGTAACTAGCTTGGGAGCCAGGAAAGCTAGAAAGCTGAAATTTTAAGTGGATGGTTCCTGACAGTCCTGACGGGAGGTCTCAATTCGTCTGGTTAGAAGCATCTACCAAAAAAACCGATGCCGATAGCGACAAAAACCTGTGCGAAACTATGTAAAAAATAAGTCTTCGCACCGGCGGTCGGTGTACTGGCCAATTATTTAAATGTAGCGCGTATTTTAGATGTTACATTTTTTTGTGTGCTGAGTTTCAAAGTTTTCATGCTTTTTTGATGATGGCAAATTTAATTTTCAGATTCGATGGCAAACTTCAAATGCGGAACCATCCATAACAGCAAAACCAGTACCAAGTGTTGAGCGGACACGAGCGGCTAAGCGTATTGCAGCTGAAAGTCTTGCCGAGCAGCTATCAGCTCAAAAAGCCAAGGCAGACGGACCTCCTGCTAGAAAACGACAGGTTGATACATTGCTTGTAATTTACCGTTTTATTTTTTCGCTAACTATGTAACTGGGTTTTTTTATGCCCCCAAATTCAAAGGTATAGTAGGAAGAAGATGGATTTTCTCCCCCTTTTTTTCTGTAAAAGTCGACATTTTTTGTCTTGTACTAGAAGAAAAATTGGCCAACGCACGGGCTGCCCGTGCGAAGATGCGTTTTTTGCATGGTTTCCCGTAGTTTT